CCAGTACAACCGCACTTCAGCTCACCGACACGAACCATCCTATCCAGTCCCATCCAGTCCCGTCCCAACCCCCCCAATCAATCTTTCTTATTGCACAACGACCAGAAACAGAAAAACAATTGCAATCTCGGGACGTAGTCTGGCTTTGAGCCATCTCCCCTCCCAGCCTGCATTTGCCTCTTTTGATTTTTTTGTCGTCACCCATTTCCCCAAACATGGTGTGAGCAGCAAGAGAAACAATTCCGCAAAGCTGTCGGGATTCTCTCTCGCCTTTTTTCATCCACAAAGCATTGGAACTACATCACACCCCGTAATTTGGTTGTCTCTTCTTCTTCTTCTTCGAGCAAGCTTCAGTTTCCGCCCAGCATTCCACGCGAAGGGGGGGAAGCATTGTTTTCATCCATCCATACCAGCAAGAACCCTGTCTCGAACTGTTGTTTCCCGCCCCCATTTCCCTCGTCGACAATGGGCTCCGCCGCCGAAGGAGATAACAATGGAGGAAGCCGCCCCAGGTCCTCGGTCCTCAAGAGCTTCATCCACCGCCGTAACCAGTCCGAGGGCTCTGCGCTCTTCACCTCGCCGCCCTCCGTCCAGGTTACCACCACGCCCGCACAACACATCTCGGCCGCCTACGCACAGCTCGAGGGCAGGATGCCGCCCCCTCCTCCCGTCCGCACCGACGGTTTGGGGGCCCTCGGCGAGCTGAACCCTCACTCGTCGCCCCGCAAACAACAACCAGACAGCAACCGAGACCGATCTCGCTCGCCGACCAAATCCGCCTTTAGCAACATGTCCTTCAAATCCCTGGCCAAAGAGGCCCGGAAATCACGCGACGTGTCCCCCGAGAAGCCAAAGAAGACGAAATCGAGCACGAACCTGGCAGGCTTCCTGTCTCGACCCCGATCGACCATGTCTCTCAACAAGACCACGAAGGAGGAGGAGGAGCGGCGCCAGGCTAAGGACAAGGAGAACCGCACACCCCCGAGCTCGACGTCGAGCGCCGACATGACGGGTCCGGCGCCACCCATCTATGCGCAGTTCTGCAGTCAAGACCTCGGGAGTAATGGACTGCGTGGAAAGGCGTCCTTTGACGCGGGTAGTGGACGTTACGGAAGCGATGCCTCGAGCGACCTGTCCAAAAAGCAGAGACCCAAGTCATACCATCCCTCCACCGCAATCTCCGAGCATAAATCTACATCAGACCTACGCAGCAGGCCAAAGATGGACGGACGTGAACCTTCTGCTTCTGAAAGAATCAAAAGCAAGGTCCAACGTCCCAAGCTCTTTACGGCCTTTTCCGCCGCCGGGTCTAGCACGAAGTCGAAGGCTTCGGATTCCGCCGACAAGCCCATCGACCCCAAAGCGATTGATCAGCACCTCGAGGCCATGCTTGATCGGCGCAATATCCCTGAGAACCAACGCTACAAAATGCGCAGCTTGGCAGATACAATCAAGATGGAGTTCATCCGACAGGACTGGGCGGAAATGGCGGCCAAAGAGCAGGCGGGTGTTGCTGACACCAACGAGCCTACCTCCGCGGTGAACGGAGGCTCTGATAAAGAGGAGACACAATCCAAGCGTTCTCGCGGAAGAAGCTTCACGCTGTCGCGGAAAAAGGACCCAAAGGAGCCCGCGTCACCGACGAAAAAGTCCAAGGGCGACGGCACTTCCATCGGTCGCCATTTCCGAAGCAAGTCGACCGAGAGCGTGGTCAGCGAGCGGCCTGTTTCGGCGAGTTCGACAGGAAGCACCGGCATTCTTTCTAAGATCAAGTTCGGCCAGGGGCCGGGCGACTACGTTTCGTATCTGCGCAAAGTGCAGAAGCCGGAGCTGGTCGAGGTTGGAAAACTGCACAAATTACGGCTGCTTCTGCGCAACGAGACAGTCTCGTGGACCGAGGACTTTATGAAGCAGGGCGGCATGGAGGAAATTGTTGGTCTCTTGAAACGCATTCTCGCTATCGAGTGGAGGTAAGTTCTAGGTTTTCCGAAGGCGGGATGGCGCCATACAAATACTAATGAGCCACAGAGAGGAACACGATGATGCCCTTCTCCACGAAAACTTACTATGCTTAAAGGCTCTATGCACCACAGCGCTGGCCTTGCAATATCTCCACTCCATCCACGAGGACTTGTTTCCCAAGCTCCTCCATATGCTGTTGGACCCCGAGAAGAAGGGTCCCAGCGAGTTTACTACACGTAACATTATCACGTCAGTGTTATTTACATACATTGAGTCGGCTTCGCCAATGGAGCGCATCGCTCGTGCTCAAAAGGTGCTCTCCTTTTTGCGCAACCCCCAGCCCAAGGAAGAGGAGAGACCGCTTGGCTTCGTACTAGAGATGCGGAAAGACCGACCGTACACAGTCTGGAACAAGGAGGTCGTCAGCGTCACCAAGGAGGTCTTTTGGATCTTCCTACACCACCTCAACGTCATCGCCCTGCCGTCCGAAATGTCGACCAAGGGCGGCACGCCGCTCGGCACAATCACCAATGGCACGACTTATCAAGATCCGCACGCCTTTATGCACCGGCACTTCCCTTCGGAGCGGCCCCCTGTCCCGGCTGCTCCTTACGTCGGCGGAGTGGAGTGGGATGCGACGAACTACCTCGCCTCGCACCTGGACCTCATGAACGCTATTATTGCCTGCACGCCAACGGCGGCGCAGCGCAACAATTTGCGCAACGACCTCCGGATCTCGGGCTGGGAAAAGGTGCTCGGCGGCAGCCTCCGGCTGTGCAAGGAGAAGTTTTACGGCTGCGTTCACGAGGCGCTGCGGTGCTGGGTCGCGGCGGCCACGGAGGACGGGTGGGATTCGCGGGATGTGCGGTACGGACCGCCGCCCGAGTCGCGGAACCCGAGCCCGAAGAAGACACAAAAGGCCCAGAAGCCTGTTGAAGCGGCGCCTAAGATTGAGATTCCAAAGTTGGATTTTGGGCTCGATAATCATCGCGTTACGCCCGTCAAGGAGAGGGACGTTTGGCTGTCATGAAGCAAGTCGGAAATACGGATGCAGACTTTTTGTACATCAATTTGCTACGGGAAAGGGTTCGAAAAAATACCACAGGATGGGGGAAGTTTCCCCAACGAGCCTTTCGACATGGACGCGTCGAAGCTCGTTTGGGCCTTTCCTCAGTATCGGTATCCCAACACCCCCTTTGAGATTGTCAACGCAGGCGGGGGCGGAAGCAAATCACCCAACTCACCCTGCCCGTCTCCGGAAGATTTGAAATGGAAGGAGAAGGAAGAAAGAGGGAGACGAAGAAAAAGAGGAAGGGAAGGGGGAGGATTGCGGAAGCTCTTGGGCGCTGTTTTTATTTCCTTGTGGGTATTTCATTTTCGGGGTTGGATCTCTGGATGAGGAGGGTGGAGTTTTGATGTTGTCTTTCTGTTGTCTCCTTGTTTTTCCTATTATTCATGGAAGAGTGAGGGAAGGGGGAGGAGGAAGAGGCAGAGAGAGATGTTGTTGTATGCACATACACAGAGACAGGGGGGGTTGGAAAGAAAGTGTGAGACTTGGAGAGGAGACGAGACGAGACGAGAGAGAGAGAGAGAGAGAGAGAGAGAAAGGGAGAGGGGGAAGACACACGATGCTGCCTAATGCTTCTTATGAAGGGCAACGTTTATGAATTGATGATCATCATACATAGAAAAAGCCGTTATTCTTTTTATGTGCTGTCCGTTCGTTTTATAATGAAGGAATGGGAAGGGTGGAGGAGGGAAATGAAAAAAGGAATTAAATGTTTTCTGATACTTCTTGACGTCTCATCTGTATCTGCGTATCGTGTGAACTTTGGTTTCTGATGTTTAGGCGCGTGTGTTTTCTATTCACTGAGTACATGAAGCTCTGTGTCAATATGGGAGCGTAAGGCAGACTTTCCAGGTTACAAGGTCCTCTGTACCATGGTTCATGACTACCCTTATTTGGTGTAGTATACATGCCCAGTACACATGTCTCTGTAGAGCAAAATAAACGCCTGATATAAAATCGAACACCAGAAAGTCACAGAGAAGATACGAGGTGGCCATTCAACGTTGGAAAATGTATTATTGGAAATGGTAGATGGACCCTGTTGTATCAATTTGTTTCTTGACACCCCCGCTTGCTAGTACTCCCCCAAAGGCGAGTATCGCCCTCGTGCAAATAAAGTCTCCCCATCAGGGTCCAACAGGGGGGGTTGCTGCGGACAAGTACGTGCCTGTTCATTCTCTTCCAAGAGGAAAGTGAGAACTTGAAATCTGACAGAAGGCTTGTCCAGCCTGGCATCCTTCGTAGAGGTTCGCGGCTTTAACTTCAAGACCTGGGGAGAAGGGGAGAATCAAGAAAGGGAAGGGGGGGGGGGGGGGGGGCAGGGGGGCGGCCAGCCTGAGCCGAGGGCACGGATGTCAGTCAAATCCGTCGGGCCTCAAAATGATAGATGAGTTTCTTGGGCGAGGTTCGGAGATGACGGGGGTTAACACATTTGCACAAATTGTCCGACAACTAGCTCTTGGGTACTCTTCCTTTCCCGCGGGCCGCTGGTCGGTAGATCAATCATCAGAGTGCGGTGTCGGTGCATGATTCGCAAAGGGGCGCCAGGGTCGGTCCTATAGGAAGAAGTTAGGGATTAGTTCTGACGGTCATGGTAGTGGTGGTACTGCTGTTGCTCGCTTGAAAGACCCTTGCGGTCGTCAGTATCAGTGCGTTGGACTCGGCAAGGGATTTGTGACGAGAAGATGGGTTATGCATTGCATAGGTAGCTCCCAATGGACGCCTCCCTCCCCCCTATCCAGGTCTTTGGATAACGACGTTGTCCCATGAACGAGTTCCATCCCAGGGTAAGAAGACCCCGCGTTGCCTTCCCCAGCGCTTCCCGTAAAGTCACGATGTAGGAGTAGGTATCTTCATCTGAGTGAGACACCTCTGCCGATGCAGCAAATGACTTGCAACCCGCAGGATTTCATCATCTAGTCGAGTCCGAAAGTTCCCGGTAAGGTACGGTCATAACCGTCCACTGGATTTAGAGATTGCTCCGGTGCGTCTTGAACGCATCAAACACCGATGTGCCATTTAGCACGTCTGCCTTGACCTTGTCGTCGGCAGCTGTAAGCCTGGGGAGAAGCTCCAGCAACTGGTCGACTTTATCCTTGGGGATGACGACAACGCCGTTCACCGGATCAGCGAAAACGAGATCACCAGGGTTGACGACCGTGCCATCGACGTTGATAGGTACTTCGACCGCCCAAGGGGTGCTCTCTGCCCCGGCGCCAACCGTGGAGAGTCCCCTTGCCCAGACCTAGGAAGGTTCAGCGACCGCCGGTCAGATTTGTTAGGGGACTTGGAGAAGATCGCAAAGGACCTGGGTGGTTTGTTCGACTCACCGGTAGACCTGTACTGGTTAGTTCGTCCAGATCCCTGGCACGGCCTACTACCACGATCGCCTTCGCTTGCCGAACCTTCATCCTCACAGCCATGATACCTCCGCAGACGGCATTCTTCTGCCCGTCGGGTTGTCTGATGATCACGATGGTACCCGGCTGGGTGATATCAGCCCAGTGAGTGTTTTTAGGAATGTTTGCCGTGGGCGAATCCAATGTCTCCCCCTTTCGAGCAAAAAGTATCGTGGATGCTGGTGCTATGGTGATGGGAGCATCTGCGGGGTTCGGTTGGCCCAGCAGTTGCAGATCAGGTAGGAAGCCAGCCCCGGGCACTTTGAGCTTCACGAGTGCATCAGAAATATCACAAGCGGTGAACTTTTGAAGAGCTGCAATTCGTTCGTCGTCCGTGTTGGTCATGGTAGCGTGAAGCGACTAATCGGTGACGGAATGAGTTGTGAGCTGAGAGTTTATAGGCTAGAAGCAAGTCTGGAGGCGATATCTCGTCAGATGGGACAACATAGAACCGCGGTTGAGGGAGATGATGCCGGAGCCGAAGATGTTGTACGAACGAATTGGACAATGGCTCGCGTCATCTTGATTTCTAGAGGTCAAACGTTCGACGTAGCTGGGGTTCGGGTGAAGTTGGATGCTCGGGAGCCGCCGTGGGACAACCCCTCCAATCACATGCCGTCCCAGAGGGAGGAGGGTGGGCTTTGCAGGAATGCACGTTCGAGGCTTGTGCTTGGTGGGGGACCATCATGGAAGCATCTGCGCGCAGCATCTGTATGCCGTGCGGTAAGGCACTCTCGGTAGTCTGGCTGGTACGGCTGCGGTGCCACCTTTGCAGTTGCCCAGAAATTGTGCGGCATTCTAGATGTTTCCAGTATTCCATTCTCTGCAGAGACGTTGGTTGATGCAGCAGCGTTGTGACTTGTTGTTCCTTACAATAACGAGAAGGCGGAAATAGACCGCGGGCCCAGTCGATGGAGCGCAAGCCGCGATACCGGCCTGATTGAACAGCCCATCTACCGGGTCCAGGGAACACGGGCGGATTAAGAGCCTATACTGGCGTAGGTAGCAATCCGATAGTGAGACTGGTGGAGTTGAGGTGCAGCAGTTGCAAGTAGGTATGCCTGCCGGAGAATGAAGGGACCTAGAACAGTTCGATTCATTGGTCGACTATTGCCATTGGCTAACTATATCTCCGCCTCTGGCACACACGTCGAATCAGTGTCGCCAATGTGCGCAGACGGCGGTCGCATTTATCGCCGGTGGTGAGACAGGAGGAGCAGTTATAAGACAGAGGCCATCCTGTCGATCCGCTACATGTCTGTGAATGGGCCGATCAGTCACATGATGAGATATCGGCCAGCGGGGAAAGACGATAGAGCGCGTATGTATGTAGTCGTAGCGTGATTATTCGTCAGAGTGTTGTTGATAATGGTATTGTGTGTGCGGCGTGGGCTCGCTTCTCATGCAGCTCTTTGGCTGTGCCGCGCGACTTTTGGTATCCGGAGCTTGGGGAAATGGGCGGACAGGGAAGTTGGAAGCAGGCAAAGACGAGTTGCAGTGCAAGGTATCGGTTAAGGTAGGGTTCGAGATGGGTCGGTTCCAAGTGTCCGAGATGTGGCCCTGGCCCCCTCGGAGCTCGCATGTTCCTGAAAGAGGGCAGACGATCCGGACAAGCGGTCAGAATCTTGAATTATGGTGGATGCAGACGTGGGCGGCGTGCTTCTCTGCGGCCGAAAGGAGAGAACGATGTTCGTTGCGTCGGGAGGAATATGTTGCCTGTGAGGTGTCGCCGTGTCGCCGAGTCCAGCCAGACGAGTAAGGTCAAGCAGGTACCTAAGGGAGGTAGGCAGGTACTGCGTACCGGTGAAGTATCTATGTATTTTGTCAAGGTGAGTATCCCGTACGGATACCTAGGTGAGACCGTGAGGTGTAAGCAAGGTGAGGTTCGGGTAAATGGTAAGGTACTAAGGTACAAATTTCTTACCTTCCATGTTGGCACTTTAGGAAGGAATCTAGACTCGGAAGGAGCCAGCGAGTGCGACAACCTTGGACGGTGGGATCTCAAGCTCCAATTGGGAAGCAACGCCTCGCACTCCCGTCCCGACCAATGGCTAACGTCGCTAGAGTGGCCAAGTACCTTACCTACACCGGGAGAGCAAGAGCGACAATGCCTCGTACCTACCTTATCACGACTTCACGTGGCAGTAGACGCAAGTGGCAAGTCCATCAATGAAACCTGGAACGTAGGCATAGGTAGACGGGAATTTCTGATGGGAAGGAGCATAGGAGCGGGAGTCTGGTAGAAACTCTTCCCCATGTTCAAGTCTCCAATACATCGCCATCACACCCATCTACCTCGGAATACCTACCTACCTATCTACCTCACCTTAGTCTCCCAGGATACCCAGAGGCAAACACGCGTGGATCAGGAAGTGTGATGCGATCCTGCAGTGGGCTCAACTCTTTTCGACCGGTCTGCCTTTCCACCAAACACCAATGCTCATCTGCTGAATGCTGGCCTCTCTATGCGCATGCCCCCGTATACTTCACGTCCCGTTCAACAATTTCTCGAATCATTGGCAATGCAACACTGGCCTCAAATCCGGGTTATACCCCTCACCCACCGGGGCCAATCGCCGGGCCATGAGAGAGATACCGAGATGGCAACGACTCCAACGACATGACATGGGGCGCTCGTCACTGGCTAGGGCAGGGTCTGTCCACCTCACAGGCTCAATGTCCGTCTGGCTTCTACTTGTCAAGCACAGAAGTTTTCCACGGCCACTACGCCGCCAAACCCCTGGTCTCCTCCTCCAGAAACCCCCGCCAGAGATCTCCGTTTATTACCGGGTTCTAAGCGGGACAATGATCAGGGATATCATCTGGGTATGGAGTACCGAGTACTGCGCAGGCATGTGGCCGACCGCGCTGCCCTCGCTACCGGACTACTTTGTGCTTGACGATGAATGTAAGCCCGCCACTGGCGCTGCTTTTGCAAAGTTGTTTCTGGCTGGGTCTACGTCTGGCATTGGGTTGGTTGATTGTGGGACGTGGGTGGACAAAGCCCAACGACCGCATGCTCGACGGCCCCGATGTCATGGCAAGTCCCGGGCCGCTGAAGATCATGGATGGTACTGGTCTTGACGGGGAACGGGAACGGGAAAATACTGGATGGTTTCCACAAACTCTCCCTCCCGAGTCCCAAGGTCTCAAATCAAGCACCCCATTCTAATCATCCCCGGCTTTCTCTATATGTCTGCGGCACGAGCTGCTGGCCAGCAGCCATTTCGAGTCATTCCGCTTGACTCGGGGGGAGACACCTTCTTTTCTTTTTCCAAAACATGCAAAACAACTGACATCTGTTCGTCTGGTCTTTGAGTGAGACATAGGCCGCGCCGCGCGTTGCGTCGGCTTGGGCCTTGGGGTGTCTGCGGTAGAAGGATTCAGGGTTCACAATGTCCCATGACTGATATTGACTGTCCAGAGAGCTAGGCATGCTACGACCACGACCAAAGTCGTACAGGGCAATTAGGTACAAATGAGATCGTTTTCGGACTCGTCGGAGTCATCTTCAGGCACCAAGACACGGCGTGCCCTGCTTGGACTCATAACCATGGTTCACTGCCTTGCTTGGAAACCCGAGCAGTCGAGCTGGAGATGGTGACCTTGGCATCAAAGCTCGAGGGATTGTCGTTGCCGTCAGAAGGTGAAAGTCACTCACCGAGCCAATCCAGACGGGAGAGCTTCATGGAGGCTTTGTTTTAAGACGAGGGTTCCTGGCTCGAGTTGGGTGCAAAAGGATCGGCGCGTCCATCCCGAGATCCCTGGTCTGCACTCTTCCAGGCAATCTGGTCCTAGGCCTGGTCATCCGTCCCTCTTGGAGAGAGATCTCCAAGGTCAATGACTGCTACTGTCACTCTATTCGCGCCTACTAGTAGCCTGACGACGCAACGCAGGGCAGACCGGAAAGCCAGCAGCAGATGCCAGAAGTCGCGCCGCTTGTTGCTATCTCGGTCGACCTTGTCCTTGGGTGTCGCCCGTCGGTCGGTCCTTAGTCAAGACTTACCACAACATGGCTCCCTAGGAAGAGGTAGGGGGCAACTTGGACAACCTTTCCCACTTTTGCGCCGGCTGGCAGGTAAACCTCGTACGGATCAGATCAAGTACAGACCCCAGGCTCAGTCGATTGGGCCAACTGCAGGACGACGTCGCTTCAAGCTCCGCAATCTCACAAATTTGCATTGAGCGGACAGGTCCCAGGCCTGCTGCTACTGCGAGTCTGCGTGATCCAATGCGCCTGCTACTGCGCGGCGCACAGAGTTCCCCCCCATCATCCATGCCTGCAGTGTGGTCGCAAAGGACCGACCCAGCCAACCCTGGCCAAGCGCTGAGCTCATTCGTCCAGAGTCTTGCTCTGGGCTGCAGCAGTTCTGACCCAGAGGGCCCATGTCGCTGGCACCTCATCCACACCTGCAACCTACAAACCTGTCGACGACTGATGGATGAGTACTTTACCTAGGCCGGAGGGGGAGGAGACGAAGAAGGAGGAGGCGGAGGAGGAGGACCAAGGGCAAGGAAAGCGATTCATACAGGTACTTCAGCCGAGACTCCATCGTTCTTCACGCAGGACCAGTGAGTAGTGGAGGCAAGCAAGCAAGCAAGCAAGAAGCAAGCAGTGTACTGTATACCTTGAACGCTAAGGCAAGGTAGCCATAGTTCTCTCCTGTGCGGATGGCAGAAGCAAACAAATGGAACCCAACAGCAGCGAGCAATGAGCAGCGGACCAAACAAGACGCGGCGAATCGACAGACGTTGGACGACTTGCGTGAACTAGCAGCAACAGGGAGATGGAGACACAGACAGAAGAGTCCCGGGAACCTGCAAAGACGCAGGACGCAACATAACGGCCTAGAGTCAGTTGGAGACTTTTTGGAGACACCTGGGGGGCCTGGATCCAATCGACACTCGTACACACACACACACACACACACACACACATCCATTGAGAACCTATTGGCACTCTCAACCTCTGTGGACACACATTCATCCAGTTGCGCCGCGCGCCGGTGTCTCTCATTGGGTCCCCCGCTCCCCAAGCCGAAGAAGAAGAAGTAGAAGCACGTATAGCGACGGCTACCTTACTGGCTACACCTTTTGGGTATGGAGTAAGGTACGGAGTACTTGGTCTTTCTTCACCTCACCTTGTCTCGTCGACCTTATCCGCATTACACTACTCCGTTCACTACACACCCATCTCACCTCAGGTTGATGAGAGAATCCTCCTTCTCCTCATACCTTACCTATCCGATCCGTACGGTACTCCTCCTCTAGCCTTCTTATCCCATCTCATCACACCATTGCTTGTCTTGTCACAGAACCCCTCCCCCACCTCGACTACCTACGCATCCGAACTTCCCCAGCCACCGTCGTCGGACTAGCCAGAGTAGTTGCCGCAACTTGGCCTTCTCCTCTCCTCGGTTTGGTTGAGCTGTGTCATCTTGTCTGGCCCGCTCCCTTGAGCCTTTTGCCCTCTTTGCCCTCTACTCGTACAGACTACGAGTCTACGACATCTGTTTGCCTGGCTTCGCCGCGCCTTGCCTCGCTCAAGCAGCAACCAGGTAGGTACCTTATTTCCTCCACCCTGTCCGAGAATACCCTGTCCATAGACCTTACCATACCTGACCTTGCCCTGTGCCTTGCCTTACCCTTCTTATCCGCACCAGCTAATGCCTGACTGACGCTATCAGCCTTTGCATCCTTTCCCACCCCTCCGGTGCGCCTCTCTCACTCACTTACTCACCCTCTTCGCGCCCTCTTCTTTGCCGCCTCGACCTGTATCAAACAGCAGCCGCAGCCGCAGCGCCAGCACCTCACTCCAGTTTCTCGATACCCGCCGACGCCGATGCCGACGCCGCCCTCGCCGCTGCCCAGAACGCGACGCCCTCTTCCCCTTCCCACAAAGTACCTCCCCTGTGCCTGTGCCTGTACCAGGATCCACCCCACCACAATCCAGATCTCCGAAGCTTCTCTGCAAGCCCTGCCGCTACCGACCACGCCCACTCCCACGCAACCCTCAACTCGCTGAGACGAACTAGGAAGCTCTGCGCTGCAGCTGCTCGCCGTTTCGTTCAAAATGTCAATAAAGTACGTCCCTCCATGTCCCTTTTCCCTCTTATGCTCTGCGTCTGTTTCCCCTTCATCTTCCCGTCATCCCACGCCGCCCGAGCCCCAGCACCACGGAGCCATCCCGGTCAGTGTCCGTGGTAACCCCGCTGCCAACCTCGACCGTCGACCTCCTCTCTCTCTTCTCGGCTATATACCACCCCACACTTGCCGTCCACCATGACGGATCAGTACCTGCAAGAGCAGCATGCCCTTACTATTGCCCGCACCGTCCAGAGAGAACGACAGCTTGCCCAGGCCCGCCTAGATTCTGACCATGGTGATAGTTGGGTCATGATCACTCAGACGGGTGATATCAACCCTCTTCCTCACGAACATATCAGGCACAGATCCAATGCCAAAGTCAGCCTCGAGCTGTCGGTACCCAAGGCCTTACAGCAAGGGAGGACGCCCTTTGCGCGCAAAAGCGACAATGGCACAGCCTACATCACAACACAGCGGGTACGCACTACATGACTTATCCCAAGACATGGCGCCGGAGGGCTAAGCTGATAACCCTCCTCCAGGTCATTTACATTCCTGCAAAACCCACCGCCGAGTTCAAGTCGTTCCATGCGCCGATTCTTAACTGTGCCGATTCGTACGTTGGCTCGCCGTTCTTCGGCGCCTGGTTCTGGTCCGCCACCGTCGTGCCGGTCTCTGGAGGCGGCGTGCCTGCCGACATACCACGGGTCGAGGTGAAGATGAGCTTCAAAGAGGGCGGCCACAGCGAGTTCCGGCAAAGGTTCGAAGAGCTCAAGGAACGTCTCGAGCATGTGAGGCGTCTGCAACAGGAGACGGGGCAGACAGTCAACATCCCGGACGAGCCGCTGCCGGCCTACGAAGCAACCGAGGGCGGCGGAGCAGCTCCGCCCAACATTGCGCCGCAGCAGCAACAGGAAGAGCCGGCAGGCCGGCCGGCAAGTTCGGGGGGCCAGAATGCGAACCGGCGTCCGGACGAGCCCCCACCAGATTATGACGAGGCGCAAGCACAGACGCTCAGCATGCGACTCGAGGATCACGTTCGCGAAGAGTCTGACAGAGCATAGCGGGGGGTTTTGATTCATCACGGGCTCATGACTAACGCTTTTGCATCGATACCTCCCTGCATTTCACTCCCTATACCTGTAACTTTTTATAGCATCTACACTAGCGGCTGGCGAATCCTGCGTTTCTTAACGAACTTGAAGTGTAGAGAAGGACGGGCGGGTTTTGATGAGGAGGATGAGGACGAGGATTGGGATGCATGCCCCCCAGGAACAAGAGACGGGGGCAATGAGTATGCTGTGCGCGAGCCGGCTCGTAAGGTACCTAGGTTGTGGACAATACTTTATGTGATGAGTGGCTGCCAGTGAGCATGATGGTTGAATTTAACGCTGGGAAGCTTGACGCAACCATGCGAGTAAACTTTCTGCCCAATAACTTTTTGTTTTCTCTGCCTGGTCCTTTTTCACTTTTCCATGTGATTGTGACGAGATGGTGGCTTTGGAGTTTTCGGCCGGTCTCAAAGGTGTGAGGTAAGGTACGGCAGACGGGACTGTACGGGAGTAAGGTACCTTAGAAAGGTACTGCAGGAGCACCGGAACGGCAAAATCCTTGGCGCTCCGGCCTGCGGTCACGTTCAAAGTTCGATGACGCTTAGTCACCCAGCCTTTCCACCGTAGCCAATCAAAACCGGCCAATTGGGAATAACTTACGACCGATTCAGAACACCCAGTTTTCGTTCTCGACTCTGCCGAAAGCTCCCGACTTCCCACCCCATCAACCACTATCCACGACATCACGTCAAGCCAATTCGAGAGCAGCACGCACCTCCGCCACAATGGGTTTCTGGGATACCATCACGGACCTCGCTGAGGCCGCCATGCCGTGGGCCACCGTCGAGGCCGAGGCTCCTGCCGCCGAGGAGAAGGTGAGCGAATGCTTTTTTGCGCAATTTGTTGCAATGACCTGAGGTCGTGGGAGGAGAAGTGCCTGCGTTGCAATCGTCACAGCTCTGGTCTTTCCGCGGCTTCGATTGCATCTTTTTTTGCACTGTTTCAGGTTACCTGCAGAGGTTCGAACCGTTGACTAATGTGTCTTTCTTTAGGAGGAGGAGACCGCCGAGGAGTCCAAGGAGGAGCCCGAGGCCGAGGAGGAGGAAGAGGAGGAGGAGGAGGAGGAAGAGGAAGAAGAGGAGGAGGAGACCGTCGACCCCAAGGAGCAGCTCGAGAAAGGTTCGTCTACTTTTACTCCCGGAATCCCCGATACAAATTCGACGGCGATACGCGATATCCGGTTGCTCGGGCGAGAGGAATCGATGACACGCATATGAGCAATTTCGCGAGCTCTCCCCATCAAGACCCGACCGCCCGCTTTCCAACTCTGTCTATCCGCTAGACACGATACGCGATACTGCGAAGCTTATAGACCGAATTGCTGACGATGTTTGGGTGACAGACTGCGAGGAGTCCAAGGCTTGCGCACCGGCCAAGCACCACTACGACGAGTGCGTCGAGCGCGTCACGGCGGCTGCTGACAGCGAGGAGGGTGCCAAGGAGGACTGCGTTGAGGAGTGTAAGTTGTAACCAAGGGGAAAGGGCTCTGCCTTCAATCTGCCCGTCATGCGATGGGCGGCACGAACGCTCAAGCAGGACTGATAAAACTGACATCGTGTTATAGTCTTCCACCTCGCCCACTGCGCCACCCAGTGCGCCGCTCCTAAGCTCTGGGCCAAGCTTAAGTAAACGCCAAATCTCCCAGACTTGACCTTGTAGACGACAAATGACGGAACGGCATCGGCGGTTCCTCATCTTCTTTCGAAATCACTCTTCACATCAGCGGCATCGGACGACTAGTATTCTATCTCTAGGAGAGTGGGCCCGCGAGACAGAAAGAAGTGTCGATGCCGAAACGAAGACGAGAACGAAATCTGTCTAGCAAATCGGTCCCCGGAGTTCCTTTGGGATCTCCAATTACCACCACCCTCGTACCTCCATCCCTCCCTCCCCAATAGTGCCTGTCAAGTCGGGTTGCTCAGTACCTCAGTGGGCGCTGTCTGGCTTGCGGCGCCGAAAGCTCTTGTCTTTTGTACTATAGGCATATCGCGCAATAGATTCCTCCATGACTTTTACTTGCGGGCTTTGAGTACGAGCGTGAAGTTACGATCTGTGAAATGGAGTCTCGCCATGTTGACGATGGCTAGGCTTGTGAATCAAGACTGCGATCCAATCATCGATGCGGAAAGAATTATGCGAGACATGTTAGCTTTTGAACATCGAGTCTGCCTCCAGCAGTGGAGAGGTTGACAGATATCGGCTTGGAGTGTTTTGTGTACGGCAGCTACCGATGAAACGCCGTTTATTGATGATTGATCAGCTAATACCTGAGGTAAAGTAATCTCGGAACAAGCAGCCAACTAGGCGAGGCGAGGCGAGCTTATGGCGCGACGACGGAGGCGAGGAAGATGGATCCCTGGACCGTGGACGCAGTAAATCTGCTCGTGTGCGGCGAAGCAGTGAGACGATTGTGCTTTCGAGCACTTGAATGGGATTCCGTCACTGGCAATCGAGAGATTTTACACACTCATGCCACGGAAGCCATGTTTGCTCAACTCTAGTATCCAGCTCTTGTTGATTTACTTCGAGAAGAGGGCTTTTCTTTGCGTGCTCAGATATCTTGAATGGACAATGGTAGGACCAAAGACACATTTTGGTCCTCGAGACACATTGGCTCAGACTTTGGCTTCGGGATAGGGACCCTTTTCCATGGTGCTGTGTTGTGGAGCGGAGGATGGGCCCGGAGGAGGTGGCCCAAAGAGAGGAATTCGGCCGGGAGGCGGGCCAATGGGGGTGCACCCACACTCTTCTCCCGCCGGTTGCTGCGCCGTACCAGTACGGATAGAGGAAGTTTGAGAGTACCTACTGTGTAGAGGGAGAGAGCACCCCGATTCTGTTGGTTGCATTCTGGATATCTCAGATGATAGGTATCCGTCCATGCATATCTCTGGCTGAGGTGGTTCTTGTTCCTCGGCTGGGGCATGTGAGCATCTCCAACTGCTGCGATGCCGCCGTCTCATTTTGGAGGTGTCAAGCTTTCTGGGTGCAGTGGTCCATTTGAACGTGGGCTTCGTTCCCCCTCTTCCTAAGTTCCTACCGCCCCCAAGTTCACAGCTCTTGACAGGTTACCATAGAACAGTCAATAGCGTGATGATGTGTCGTCGCTTGCTTTTACCCATATGAGTGTGAAAACAGCAGGTGGAGAGTTTGGGCGCCATGTCCCCTCAATGTAATGCAACTTGAGAGGATCAGGAAACTGAGAAATGTCTGGACCAACAAAACGGCCCACGGCACACGGGGCATACCAGGCACACACCCACCAGTCCAGACCGGGGAAGTTGAACCGTTGGAGACTCGACTTGGAGGGATCTTCTGTAGTAGTTTTGTTCTCGATGAAATACCTTACTTTACCTTGCCTTCTCTGGGTATCTCCCGCATCAGTTGCACTGCATCTGGTCCCCCCCCCCCCCCCCCCCCCCCCTGTTCCTGTTCCCGTTCCCACGTCCCGCGTCTTGTCAATTTTGCCAAAAATCCCGTTCAGGACAGGTTCCTTCTTAAGTCCACCTTTCCGCTTTCTCTCTTCCAGCTTATATTCCTTTCCCTCCCATCCTCTTGGCTCTTGGTCTACTTTTGGTGGTTTTGGTGGTGGGCTTATCTTTTCGCTCTCCCCCTCCCCCTCCCCCATCCAGCGCATTGCCCTCCGTCCCATCTTCACCTTCGCGCCGTGTTGGAGGAATAGGAGGAACTCGAGACGACGACAATTACAGGCTTTACAATCCGCAGACGGGGTGGAACGACTCAAGTCAAGGACTCCCTGCCAAGACACGCCTAGGCCAATCTCCCGCCCGCCGCCCGCTAATCCACACAACCTGCCTGCCCTGGAAAAGCTGGGCTCCGCCCACAGCCCGCTGTCTCAGAAGAACTTGCGACAAGCCCGACAGCCCCGGCCCCCCTAAAGATCGGGCTCTCTAGCGCGCAAAAGTTCTGGCCCGTTGGCGCTCGCGCCCCCTAAACACGAACACACAAAATGCACTTCTCTCGCCGTCAGAAGAGCGAGAACGACCCCTCGGTCGACAACTCCACTCCCACCAACGACACCACGAATAACATCACCACCACCACAACCACACATACTGGCGAAAACGAGAAAAAGGCCGCGAACCCACTTGACGACACCGCTGCTCCCATCGGCCTCGACGCCGCAGCCGCACCGACGGCAATGCCGAACCACGCCCGCTCCGGCTCCGGCTTTGGCAAGCTCGGCGACGAGGAGTACCACCTCCGCGATGTGGACTCCCGGTCTCGCGACAACGACTTCGCCAATGGCGGGGTCGGCGGTGGTCTCAGTGGTGGTGGCGGCATTGACGACAACAACAGCGTTCTCGAGGGAACGGCCGTCGAGTATCGCACGTATAAGCGCCGCTGGTTCGGGCTCGCACAGTTGACGTTGCTTAACATCATCGTCTCGTGGGATGTAAGTCAAAATATCTCCTGATGGAATTGGTCCAATCGCAAAAGGCGAATTCTGGGATCGGGGTACCTGCATCAGACAAGCCACCATCGATCGTACTGCACGTCGTCAACAAGGCTGGCGAATAGTCCACTTCCTATCCTGCATCAACACCAAAACGCCAGGTTCTTGGCATCTCCATGGACCGAGAATCTGAAAGAATACTAACAAAACACAGTGGCTCACCTTCGCCCCCGTGGCCTCCAACGCAGCAACCTACTACCGCGTTTCCGAGTCCGCCATCAACTGGCTCTCCACAGCCTTCCTCTTCGCCTTTGTCGCAATCTTTCCCCTGACGATCCGCATCCTCCACATGGGCCCCAAGCCCTCCTTCATCACCGCCGCCGCTCTCATCCTCATCGGCAACTGGATCCGCTACGCCGGCAGCCACTCCCGCTCCCCGACGGGCGGAAACTACGGCGTCGTCATGTTCGGCCAGATCCTCACCGGCCTCGCCCAGCCCTTCGTCCTCGCCGCGCCGACCCGCTACTCGGACCTCTGGTTCACGAACCGCGGCCGCGTCGCCGCCACGGCCCTCACCTCCCTCGCAAACCCCCTCGGCGCAGCCCTCGGCCAGCTCATTGTCCCCTTCTGGGTCGTCGACCCCCAGGACATGTCCCCCGGCGTCCTGTACGTCGCCATCATCTCCACCGTCGCCTCCCTACCGGCCTTCTTCATCCCCGCGGCGCCACCAACCCCCGTCGCTCCCTCCTCTCGCACCCTCAAGCTCGGCATCCGCGATTCCCTGTCCATCGTCTCCCGCTCCCTCGAGCTCTGGCTCATCCTCCTCCCCTACGCCTTCTACGTCGGCTTCTTCAACTCAATCTCCTCCCTCCTCAACCAAATGATGGGCCCCTACGGCTTCTCCGACGAAGAAGCAGGCATCGCAGGCGCCCTCCTCATCGTAGTAGGCCTCGTCGCATCGGCAATCACGTCCCCAATCCTAGACCGCACCAAGAAATTCCTCCTCGCTATCAAAGTCGCCGTCCCCGTCATCGGACTCTGCTACCTCGCCTTCATCTGGATGCCCGAGACGCGCAACATTGCCGGGCCCTACGTCGTCCTCGCCGTCCTTGGCGCGGCCTCCTTCTCCCTCGTCCCCGTCGCCCTCGAGCTGCTCATCGAGCTGAGTCACCCTGTCAGTCCCGAGGTCACGAGTACCATTGCCTGGGCCGGCGGCCAGCTCCTCGGCGCGCTATTCATCATTATTTCGGACGCGCTGCAGGCCGATGAGAAGGCGAACCCGCCCAAGAATATGAAGAATGCGCTCATCTTCCAGGCCGTCGTCGCTTTGGTGATTGTGCCGTTGCCGTTGTGCCTGGGCCTGTTTGGGCGGAGTGATAGGGTCAGTCTCCGGCGTGTGAGGTCTGACGAGCAGAGTACACGACAGACAACCAATGCGTAGTCCAGAACCCGTCCGCGGGGACGATGCGTGCGTAAGCTGTAGCGTGAATAGTTGTTTGTGTTGGTAATTAGGCATTAGTCTTTTGTATGCTATATAGTTAATTTTGGATACCCCCCCGACATGTTTTGCAAAAACAAACCGTCTTGCGCCTTTTGCATCTCATTATATCTCGTGCCCTGAGATTGATTTTCTCCAGGTCATCCAGATTTGCCATTGCCATTGGTGTGACTGTGCCCGTTGACGCCCTCCCCTCGAATATCGAGAAACTCCTCCCACTGGTGCCTCAACCTCTCCATTTCGGTCCAGATATCCACCCCCAACGCCTCGAAGTCGACAAGCTGCTCTCTAGTCAAGTCCTTCGCTCCAGGGTTCCGCCCAACAGCCTTTCTCAGCACGCCCGTCGCAGGATCCCTCGCAAGGGAATCCCGATCCTCAACGGCGCCCTCCCACCCCCACCATTCCACCTCGGTCTTCTTGACATCCTGCCTCCCAGAAAACGACGCGGCGGACCCCCACTTGATCTTTTTCGCTTCCAGCTCCTCGAGCGTCTCGTCGTCCTGCAGCGCGATCCAGACGGGCGCGACGGCGCCGTTGTACCCCGTCACGGGGTGCCAGGGCGACCCCAGCCAGCGGGCGAGGTAGAGCGCAAACTTGTAAGCCCAAAAGAGGATAAAGGGAAACGGCACGGGGAAGAGGTTGGAGGCGACTACGCCCGGGTGCGTGAGGTAAAAGGAAGGACGAACTGGTAGGCGCTGTGCGATATGGGCGTCTTCGGGGGTGAAGTAGGAGTGGGAGATGCGCTGCGTGGCGGGCAGGTGTGACGAGAGAGAGAGCACGTCTGTGAGGCGCTTCGAGGACTCGTACGGCCCTTCCGTCTCGATGCCCTGGAAGTCGTCGAGGCGGAGGTGGCGCGCTTGAGGCTCGATGCTGCTTGTCCAGACGACGCGGCCTGGTGTTTCCTCGGGTGTGGCTCTGCTGAGGAGGGGCAGCAGCTCATGGGCAAAGACGTAGTGGCCAAAGACGTTTGCGCAAAAGACTTCACCGAGGACGGGGGAGGAGGGCTTGGTATCGTAAGCGGAGGCAAGGGAGAGGGGGTTATCGGGGGAGTCTGTGGGTACCAGGTCGGAGCGGACGGGTCGCTGGTTGAGGACGGCGCCGGGGCGTGCGAGCTTGAAGGAGGGCCAGGTGAGGACGGCGAGGAAGCCCTTTGTGAAGGTGTCGGTGAGGAGGCCGGTCCAGTCGAGGCCGGTCCAGCCGCCGAAGCCGGCGTTGAAGATGACGGAGTCGAGGCGGGGGATCTTGTGGGCGCGCGGGGGCGATACGGGATCGGTGGGGTCGGTGAGGGTGCCGGCGACGAGGTTGGCGGCGCAGGCGTAGACGGAGGGGAGGTCGCAGAGGTCGAGCTGGGTGGAGAGCAGGTGGACGCGGGCGAGGGTGTCGTCGGGGTCGTAGTAGGAGGAGCCGGCGCGGGAGCGAAGAGCCGGGGAGGTGGTTGCTGTGCGGCGGAGGTGTTCGCGGAGGGACTCGACGGATTCGCGGGACTTGCGGACGGAGCGGGTGGTCGGGATGAGGATCAGGTGGGAGGTTAGGGGCCGGGTCGCGAGGAAGTCGTCGATGAGGCGTTCGCAGATGCCGAGGCCGACCCCGCTGGTTTTTTTGAGATTGCTGTCAGCTCATTGTGTTCTGGGACCAAGGAGAGTCGAAGTAGGAATCGAAGAGCAAAGGTCGAGGAGAGACAGAGGGGGGGGGGTAGCCTGTAGTGATTCACCTGTTTGCGCCGGTGACCAGCACGAAGAGCTGTTCGCGGGGAGGAACCTTATCCCAGGGTGCTGCGATCATGTTGTTTGCTGTGTGTGTAGTTTCTCAATTGATTACAAAATATGAGTAGATGGAGAAGATAAAAGATATCCCCGTGTTCAACAACTGCGCGCGGGGTGAATGAATGACGAGGAAGAGAGGGGAGGGAGAAGAAGCGAGCGTTGGGGGGGGGGGGGGGATTGGTGGTGGTGGTGGTGGGATGTTTGGCGGTGAGTCTCGACTTGTACAAATTTCAGACGGAAAGTCAAGTCAAAGGGGGGTGGACTTTCCACGGATGGTGGTGGTAGGGCGCGCGCCGGCGGGACGGGAAGCTTAGTTGCAGAGGTCACTGCCTATTTGGGAAACTTGTGGTGTGTGCCGCAGGGCAACGGCCGCCCGCCGTCACATGCGGAGCCCCGGGAGCGTCTGCTCGTCCGGGGGGCCGGGCCTCTCGTCTTGATCATTTGTTACCGTCACCATGAACGTCCGAGAAAGGAGGCGCAAGCTCATGTTGCATACGTCAACGACGCCATTGACATACGCCGGGGCGACGACTTCCAGATGGTACCGAGACTTGAGAGATCTAGACCGTCAGCGAATTACAAGCCCTGTCAGATCCTAGTATGCAGGTCCCAGAGGGCCAATCCCGCAGTCGCTTTCTCATTGGTCTGTGGTGTTTGCCGCGTCGAAAAAGAGCCGAGCAAGCCGAGTGATAGGTGAGGAAACCGAATACGGATGCGAAGGGCGTGTCTAAATCCCGGTCGGAGTTTCGTAATGGCGTTGATTGTGAAGTGATTGAAAATAGTAGTCAGTCTACTTCTTTCTTTATGAGTAAGCCCTTGGGCTGTTTTACGTTGCCCTGTTTGGTAAGTTCAAAGATGCAATGTGAAATTCCAGGGAGCACTACCCCAAACGGTGAAGAGGAGACAAGATCTGCCATGGGCCGAATGTTCTTATAAAAGCCAGCACAGTGGGCATCACAAGCAACCTTTCCACAAGCTGCCTCTGCGTGCCAGGTTCCTGCGAGCGGGGACCTTGAGTTGGCGTGTATCTCCTGTGGCGATGGCCAATTCAGAATTGTTGAAGTCGTTCGTAATCCAGGGTAGGAATACAAACAGCACCTTTCTCTCATCTTGAGTTGCCTCTTGGCCGGCGGTGGTGGCTTGATTCTGGGAAGTATTCATGAGCAATGTTCCCAAGGTGAGAGGCAAAGCCGGAAAAGGGACACGCATATGTTCAAGACAGGAAGGGGTACTGAGTGTATCTGCTAGCGGGTCGCTCGTCCGCAACTCTGTCGGTTATTGCCTCAGAGAGGAGCCTATTGCATGGATTGGGGAACGGGATAGATTGCAACTTGCCTTGCTCTAGGTATCAGGTTTCCGCCTATGGACTTATGTATCCAAAAGGCACGATATTTGAGCCTCGAGTCGTTCTCGCCGCCTTGCTGTTACAAGTCGGTACCTAAGGCATGGCACGTTCAGGCAATCATCTCAACTCAATCAACTCAATCAACTCAAGTCGATGCTACCACAACTAGGGGTTATAAGCGAGTTGCCGCTGATTAAACCACGCTGGGGGGGGGGTTTAAAGAAGATTTGATTGGCTTCGTTGCTTCGCCAAATGTATTGCTCAATCCGTCTTACCTGCCACACGTGATTGGTTGATCATTAGCTTGAGGATTCACCAATGTGACTTGGTTTTAACGTCTCACCTCACTTCACTTCACTTCATCTCACTTGAACAACAAATAGAGCCAGCCAAGTTTTGAGGCACTAGACGAATTCATATTGGTATTAAAGGTAAGAAAACGCAATTAGTCAAAGTAATAAAGTAAGTGCCTCCTTTTCTCCCGACAACGTCTGCACCATCTTCATCTCATCGCGTACACTCAGGCAGCCTTGCAGAGACGACCATCGCCCTGCACCTCCCAATCCTCGCTGCCGACACCCGTCAGGGCGTAGAACGTGCTGCAAGGGTCGTAGAGCTTCTTGATCGCCCTGAGCTTGGCGTAGTTGTCGGTGCCGTAGAACGTGGACTGGAACTCGACCTCGTTGCGGTCTGCCTCGTTGAGGTACGCGCCGCCGCCGGGCGTCAGCGCCTTGAGCGCCGGAATGAGCGTGTCCGTGACCGTAGTCTGGCCCGAGACGAGAGTAGAGAAGTCGGACCGGCTGTAGGCGCTGCAGTTGTGTGTTAGTGAAGCCGTCCACAGGGGAAGGCAAGATTGGGAGACAAGACTTACGTTCCGACAACGGCTGAGAACAAGGCGGTGCGCCAGGCCGGGTTCACCGAGTTGGCGACGGCGTTGGCGGCGCGGGCGACGTTGATGGTGAGGCCTGAGATGATGCCGCCGTTGTTCAGGATGCTCTTGAGCGCGTCCATGAGGCTGGCCGCGGAGGCATCGTCGGCGACGAGGGAGCGGGGCATGAGGCGGCCGCCAATGTTGAACTCGGTCACAGCCGGCTCCGGGTTCATGTCGTTGTAGCTGTCCAGGAAATTGGTGTACTGGCCAATGTGGTAGTCTGGCGGCTCGTGTTAGTGACTTTCTCCTCTCTCACCCCTCTCTCAACTTCAGTCTGTCGACTACACTTACCATAGGTGATGCCGGCGGTATCGAGAGCGTCGAGAGTAGGCTGCAGCAGAACCTGGAGCTCCTCCTTGGTCTTGTTGGGGAGAGTAGTAGGCTGCATCTGGAAGACGCCCGAGGCGAGAAGCCAGATGCTGACGGCACCGGCGTCGACGATATCCGGGAGGGTCTTGAGGTATGTCGTGACCGCGCCGTAAAACACGTCGTCCGAGACGCCAGAGTTGGTGAAGGTCAGGTTCGCCGACGAGACAATGGTGTCGGCGTAAGCCTTGACAGTCATGGATAAGACGGCAGCGTACACGCCACCACCGCCACCGGAAAGCGCCCAGTACAGATTCGAATTGGACGTCGGGGTCGCGACGAGCGTCTTGCCGCCAGAGGTGACGACCTCCCACTCGAGAACCTGGTCAGCGGCGAGACCGTACTTTGAGACGAGGGGCCCGTGACCGCCGCCCTGCGTGTAGCCTCCTGCGATACCGACGGTCGGGCTGTTACCGCCCACGACGACGAGTCCCTGGGCGTGTGCTGCGGACTGTGCCTCGCCGGCCTGGACGCCGGCGCCGAGCTTAAGGGCCTTGCCGGTGTAAGCCGTGGACTTGTAGTCGAGCACGCTGATGTCCTTGAGGTGGTGCGTCCAGAGCGCGAGGGCGCCGGCACCGGTGGACTTTCCAAGGTAGTCGTGACCGGTGTTACGGATGACGAGGCGGATGTTGTAATCCTGGGCGAAGCGGATCGTCTTTGCGTAGTCGTCGGCGCTGGCGGCCTTGACGGCGTACTGGACGTAGGTGCCGATGATGCAGCGTTCCGTCTGGGCGAGGAAGGGGTCGCAGCTCTGGTTGGCGAAGAAGGCGGCCATGACGGACGACGAGGTCTGGATGTGTGTCTCGGAGGCGGACCAGCTGTTCTGGAGGGCGGTACACTTGGCCTCGTCGTAGGCGCCAAAGGTGCTGTCGTGGCAGACGGCGCCGATGGGGATTGTGGCGATGAGGCGGCCTCCGACTGTTGTGTTGAAGGCGGACCACTCGGCTGCCGTTGGCCAGCATTCTTCGCCGGGGAAGCAGCGGCAGTCCGTGGCTCTCTGTGCGATGTCGTGACCGAACGGGCTTCCGGGACGGATGCCGGCGCCTGGTCCTGGTCGGCCGATGGAGAAGGCCGAGACCGCCGCGGGCGCGAGGGTGAGCAAGCTGAGGAGAGACACCATCTTGGAAAACGAGAGTCACAATCACTTGCTGTCAGGCAAAGTGAGGGGAGAGGGAAGGAGGGAGGGTGTGAAAGAGTGACTGGAGGTTGGAGGTGAGGAAAGGAAGAAACCTCTCTCACGATGCAACACCAGGCTTCGATGCTACATATTTAACAGGCAGGTCACGAACGACGGAACGAAGAGGCATCAACAACACGAAATGAGACTGCCGGTTGCAGCCAGGAAGCTGACGATAGTTTGATTACCACCCATGCCAATATTGACTACGATGGCCCACGAATACTAGCTGCCCACGCGAGCAGTTGTGGGAAGGAAACTTTTAAGCTATTGAGAAGATAGGGCCCCCGAACGGTGAATCAAGCATGTGCCTGACTCTTCACCCTGCGAGAACTCGAGAAGGGCCGGGAGGGCCATGAGAATCGGTGGAAAGATTGGACAGAATGGGACAAAATGGAACAGGTTGCCGCGTGTCCCCCCGACGTCCCCCTTCAAAGCCTCAAGGGGCGGCTGGGGCCAAGAGGTCGAGTCGATGGATGGCTCCGAAGGTGAGGGGGAATAGGAATATACCTCAATGTCAACCTTCCGGAAAGGCCAACGCCTACAGGTAAACTCCAGTCTCCATCTTGAGTTGCGGGGACTAATCACGCGTTTGTTAGAACTTGGCGAAACGGTTTGACGATTCCAAGCACAACTCATGTAAAGCTAATATAGGCAGGTAGCATCGCCGGTATTCTCATCTAGGGGTTGACCCTGGCACGAACGGTTGCTGGCAAGCAAGGATGAGCCGTCGTCATCCATGATCTATGTGTCTGTTAGCAGCAAAGAAGCCGCACTCAACTGACTAACCCACGCGCAGATGTCTGGGGGACTCTGAGCAAGGGGGGAAGTTTCCCCGTGGAAACGAACGACGTCCTGCAGTTCTGCACAGCAAACCGCATTCAGCAGACTACAGACCGCAGAGGTCGGCCGCCCGCAACCATAAAGGCGGTAATACTGGAACTAATCCCTGTCAAGTGTCGACCGTTCATCCAACATGCGCGGTTACAACTTGCAAGGACCTGTAGAGGTGGGCACTGCGCAGCAATGGGACCGTGGAGGGGACCGTGGAGGGTGTACCCCGGGTCCTCCGGGTTGACGGACGCCACCCGAGCCCGGACGGAGACCAATGGTCCGGCCAAAGACAACCTCGTGCAATAACACCCTTCTCGAGTACCTTGTTACCTCGGAAGTCAACGAACACGAAACCAACCAAGTAATCAGTAATCAGTTGAGTCAAAAGATAACTCTCCACGATGATCGACTAGTTACCAACGACACTAGTTAACGAAAGGGGGGGGAGGTAGCCAAGTGATCCTCCCGCTCCGTGGTTTTCCTAGTCTCTTTTGCAGTTTCGACGAGTCAATTTCCTAATCTACTCGGCGTCTTTTACCACCGTTTACCACATACGGATACGTTTAGAGCTACGACGGTTCATCTATCCGTACTAGTGTAGCTTACTTACAAAACACACGCAAAAAAGTCAGGTAACGCCCCTGGCGCCGCGCTTGCAATCCTGGCTCCCCGCGGCCCGCTCCCTGCCAGCGCTTGACTCGTGATCCTTGTCCAACTTCAAGAGAATCACGCACATCAAGGATTCAAGGGCACTAGATAGTAGCAACTCTCCCCAGTCCATCTGCCGATTCTTAGCCGAAGCGATGCTCTACGAACACTCCGTACGGCTGTCACTTATCTTCCGAATGACTCGTACAGCCTCCAAGGGTTCCCAAGTTCCCAATAACCAACTCCTTCAAACGGAACTCTGCATACACAATAGTGACAATTTGTTCAATTACCTGTAACTGTATCCGTAAACTGCAGGTAATGTCCATCCCCCATGATCCAGCATCCCGGCTCCCCTTTCATTCCACGTGCGACGCCAACGACACGAAACCGTCACCGACGAGGGGCAGGGAATACAGACAGACCGTCCACAGGCACCACAGCTTCCACGCTCTGGCGTCCGTTTCTGGGGTCCGCGTCCGCAGCACCGCCGCGACGACCATGGCGCCGGACAGCGTGGGCAGCAGCACCGCCCACGACGACCGGATGTGCCAGACGTAGACGCACACGCACGACCAGAAGGGGACCAGCACTGCGAGCGAGACGCGCGAGACCCTGTCGCCAAAGAATAGGGGCACCGTCGCGCGGCCCCGTCCGCGGTCGCCGGCCTGGTCTTTGAGGTCCTGCACCTGCATCGTCGTCAGGATGGCGGCGCTGATGATGGCCGCCCACGCGTACCCCTCGTGGGTGATGGTGATGGGTACGCGTACGTCGTCTGCCGCTCCTGCTGCTGCCCCGCCGCTGATTGCGATCTTGAGAGAGGCCGTGTTGAAGAGGAAGTAGGCAACGGCGATAATGGCGTCTCGGACGAGCTCGTCGCCCCCGCGGAGGTCGTTGTACAGCCACGTCAAGATCAGGATGAAGACGCCCTCCTTCCAGACATCCAGAACATAGTTCAGGGCCAGCACGGCGGGGATGGCTACGAGCATGGCCTTGCGAGTCTGCTCGGGCGTCACTTTGCCCGCCGGTATGGGACGCCAAGGCTTGTTCGCGAGGTCCTCGGCCACGGATTCGGGCCCCCTCTGGTTGGCCAGGTCGAAGATGAGGACGCTGTACCAGTTGAAGGCCACTACCAGAGGGAAGCGGTGGATGATGGAGAGCGTGGCTGCGTGGCCTGAGGTCAGGGGCGCGCCGGTGAGTCCGCCCAGGAGGCCGAAGGCCGTGTTGGGGACGACGAATGTGGCAAAGTTGCTCTCGGTAAAGTCCCAGATCAGACGAGGTATACGGAGGACCTCGGTGAAAGTGGAGGAAGAGGAGGACTTGGTGCTGCTCGACATGGCCTCGTCTTCAAACGAGGCGTGTTTGAGCGTGAGGGGGGGATTCTCCCCGAGGCTTGCTGAATGCTGCATGATGATGACTTTCCCGTCCTGCGGTCCGCTGACGAACCTAGCGTTTAGGAGGGAGAAAGGAGACGAAGAAGGTACTGGAGAGCTGAGATCCGACAGTCTGGTTTGACACCTGCGGTTTGAAGCACAAGAGGACATAGAGAGACCCTCTTTGAAATCTCCCGATATCAAAAAAGGGGGCGATCAAGGCCCATTGATAAAGGCCCGCCGAGCATCGACATAATCAACAACATCGTCGGCCTCGGGATAGAGGCCTCGTGGCGAAACGCATACACCGCTTTCATGATTCAGATTCACCCACCTTTGACAACACATTGCCCCCAACTTCCAGTCTGAATTTGCCTCTATCGACGAATGTCTAAATTGTTAAGCGGTACTTGGAGCTGCCCTGGTCATGTCAAGACGCCTGTCAAGACCAACAGCCTCGGAGTCTTGAGAGGAGTCTATGGAGGGATCTTGCGGAGAGAAGGCAGGCTACGTGCTGTGACTTGAACGGCAGGCAATACATATGCAATATGTAGCGACCCCTGAACGATCATACCCGGCTCCGGCGAGCGATTTACCTCGCACGATATTGAATCACATCCGCGGGTCGCAGACGCAGTCACGGAAAGGTCGCGAAACCAACCAGAAGCCGGAGTTTGAACCAGAAGTCGAGGTGAAAGCAAGGGATCCCTCAAGGAAACGTTCCCTGAAGCGGTTTCCGTTTAAGAGTCGTAGCATTTGCGCTGGGCTGGGGGGATCAAAAACTGGTAACCGGAAGGAGACGACCTGCATCGTGAAAGTCTAAAAGATGCCAATTCTTGGTTTCTGCCCTTGAGTTCCACTGTCCAAGGGTACGCGGACAGTGGATGCTGGATAGTGACACACGGGTTTCGATCCAGACTCTTGTGATCCATAAGAGATCGGGAACCGGTGGTGCTACGTTGATGTCGCAGTGAAAGCAGTGAAAGCAGTGCAAGTTGATTGCACCTCGACCCATTTTCCAAGTCTCAAGATACTCACGTGTTTTTATCACGGAGCGAATGAGAGTTCAACGTTATATTAAAGAGGCAGGTACACTTTTATGTGGATACGTCTACCTGACTTGGGTCCCAGTCGTTCTCGCAAGGTGCTCGGATGTAAACTCTGAGAAAAAAGGCTCACGAACGTCGTCTGTGAGTTCCCGTTACCTTATCCGACTTGACTCCAGTTTGTCCCCACGTGTGTAACTCTAAAAGCCGTGAGAACTAAAAGCTTCTTCCTTGCTGGAACCAGTAGCCGGCCACTGAACACGAAGAGGGTCTGTCTTGTCTTCGTTTTTTTGATGAACTTGCCTGCCCACTACCGGCGGGATGGGGCTCGGCGTATGGCAGATAGTGTAGACAGATTGCCCGCCCCCCTTCCCTCGCTGTGGAGTTGGGTCATCGTTGTTGTCATCCCAACTCTGCCTTTCTCATGTGTTCCCAGGATTCCCATGTCTTTGGTCAGGAACGCTGTCTGGGCGTTGCTGGGCGAGTAAGAGTCAGGCGTGCCGCTTTCCGAGAGAGTGTGATCGACACGGACTCCCAGGGAGGTCTGGCTGCAAGTAATTGAGATACCTTGATTTATTGGAAAATCTCCCGGAAGTCTCTCCAGAGTGTGTACGATGTCTGCAGATGCAAGCACTATGTGTGAGACACTCCCGAGCCTGCTCAACTTCAAGATAGAAATGTGGATGTTTGAATGTTTCCTTCGGTGATTCATGAGGAAGTTTTGTGACAAGTGAAGACAAATGAAAACACTATATAGTTACAAGGTAAAATGGTGCGTCAAGAAGTGTACATATCTCATATCTCGAATAAATTTCATTCATCGGCCGTAACTCCCCGTTCCCTTCCATGCCCCCCGTCCCTGGCCTAAGCCTGCGCCCCTCGCTTCCAAGTCTCCTGCGACGCAATGTCCTGATGAACGTAGATGACCGGCCTGCTGCCCCTGGGCGCCTCGGCTCCCGGGGAGAACTGGCACTTTGTCGTCAGCTCGGCGCGCTCAAGGTCCACAACGGAGGTATTATCGCCCAGCTTGTCGTACGTCCGACGCGGGTGGCGGATGCTGTGGCCGCCGCTGCTGCTCGTCAGGTCCTTGAGGTTGATCTGACCGCCCTTGTCCGTCGAAGGGTTCGTGAGCTTGGAGCCGAACTTGGAGACAGCCGGCTTGACATAGGTCTTGAAGAGGGGCCCAAGGGTCGGCAGGCAGGCGATGATGATGCCGATCCAGAGCTCGAGAAGACTGACGAGGCCGATGTCGTGGAGGTTGTAGACGAAGTCGAGGTCGCCGATGGTGGTGACTGTGTTGACGAGACGCCAAATCATGATTGCGATTGTTCTGTGAAGTAGAAGTCAGCTGCTGCCTCGGTCTATGAGGAAGAAGACAACTTACGCAAAACCCATGCCAAACATGGCGCTGACGGCAATCTTGTTCCTAAGGGGCATCTGGAGACCCCATAGCGCCGGCATCGGCAGTGCGGTCATGGCAATGTCGACGACAATGTTGATGGTTACCGAGACGAGCTGGTCGACGGTGATGTCGCGGCAATGACCACCTTCGACCGGTGCCCACTGCTGCGACATGGGCGTACATCTGCTCATGAACAGAATGAGGAATGCGACACCGTAGGCGCCCGTCACTCCCATGAGGATGTGCGACCAGCGCTTGAACTTTGCCGTTGAAAAGATTCTGGTGTATAGCCAAAGGATGGCCATCTTGATGAAGACGGTTCCTAGAAGCCATGTGACACCACTAGCTAGAATGAGCTGTGAGAAGCATGTGTTAGATCGTTTCAGCTCATGGGATGGCATATCTAACTTGCCTTGAATTGAACAGCATACTCGTCCAAAGTCAACTCATTAGTGTGTTTGCCCAAGCCATTGTAAATGGCCCAGATGACAACACCTTCTAGCGCAACGATGTTGGCCTATGACTGTTAGTTCTCTATGAGAGAGAATAGGAGTGACGGGCTTACAAATGCAAAGATGATCATTCCATCATCCCAGTAGAAGGATCTTCTCATCACCCTCGCTGACCATGCTCGTAGACACAAAAACGAAGCATCGGCAACGGTAAAGACAACAATCCATACTAGGAGGCTAATGCCTCTTGATCCAGCGCCAGGCATGATGAGCGAATACGTTTCTGCTCTTCAAAGTGTGTAATGCGATTGGACCCAGTCAGTTGGTCTACTGCCTTAGCTTCGGATGCCAACAAGCAATGAGAGAGAGAGAGAGTTTCCGGATACCAGCCCGAAAGACATCCGCCCTCGCGGCATAGCACGCGCGGGGGATGCCTTCATCTCTTATGGGGGGTGCGGGAACGACGCTCATCGCATCAAAAAGCCGCCGGGTGGCCACGCCGCCACCCTCTCTTACAAACAGACACACTCTGTCTTGTTCTCATCCCACAAAGACGAAACGTGGTTCCCGCGTCTATCAATCACGGCCAGGAAACCCCAAAAAAGAAGTGGACGAAAGGGTGAACTAGACGATGAGACACAAGTCGATGTCACCCTACTCTGCGGTAGTTCCCAGCTTATTGGTGTGTCTGCCGGCCACTTTGATACTAGTCTGAGAATGAGGGTGAGAGATGGCCTTGTAAGTATGACAGAATGTATGTACTTTGCACTACCTTGCCGAACCATGCTTCCCTCCCTCTTCGGCTCCTCCTCCTGCATGCCACCCACTCGGTAATAAGCCTACTCGGCGAGGCTTCTGCTCATCTGATCGAAGGGAGACAAGATGGGATGACATGAATCAGTAAGAGGGTTCTGCGCTTGCATGACACTGCATTCTTTCATCCCATTCCCTCCCCACTCACACTCTAACACTCACCACTTTCGGGTTCCTCTGCAGGCTTGCAGCAAGCGATAGTTGAATAGTAGATAGGCAATGGTTCGTGACAGTCGTCGTGTTTTAGGACCAACCACCCGCCTGGTGTTGCTGCACGTGTGGGTAATATCGATAGGGAACCATGCTCTTCCCACATGACTGTTCTCTTCTCAGATGTGATCGGGAATTCGTCATGTACGTGATAGAGAAACTCCACAGCCTCATCAACCCTCAAGGGTTTGCCAAGTTACCTGTCCCAAAGTCTTGTCCGGTCTAACGAGGGCCCCCCCCCTGGTATGATGGGACTCTAAGAAGACTTGGCCTCCCCGCTCTACCATTTTGAATTGCAGGGGTCAACCGTTCCCCAGTCTATTCAAGAGTCTCGAGGTGTGGGGGGAGTTTCAAAGTGGAGTTTCTGCAAGTTGATATATCAAACTTTTAGAGACCCTTGTCAACGGGCCATACATAGCAGACCGAGTCCCACACAAACCACAAAAGCAACCATGTGAAAGACAAAGACAGTCTTCAGCAAAGCACCCGCCGCCGCGCCGCGCATTTGTTGTCCCGTTTGGATACAATGCTTCCCACCACGGGGGTTGTCTGCACCTTCTACTAGGGGGGAAGCGTGCGTGCCTTGCCTTACCTTGACGGCCATGGTGATGTTGCAACGAGGCTTACGTTTATCCCTCTTCCGGTAATTATGCAAGGCACAGGTGTCAGTTCGTTGCTCAATCTCAGGTTTCACCAAAGTCCCCGAGTTGTCGGTGGAGAATAACGCCCGTCGCTCCTGTGTGACTTGTTTACGGATACCGGTCAGCTATCTGCACCCTCCAAGAGATGCTGAGCAGGCAACATCGCCGTCCATCCAGCCAGCCGGTTGGTCAGGGCTATAGTGTCTTCGAAGGAGCGAGCTGCGCCGCAACGCTGCACATCACGGAGTTTGTAACCAAAGACCCGAACTTTGGAAGTCTTAGCTCAGCTCAATGAGGAAGAGAGGGGGGGATAAAAAGACAGGGCCTAGCTCGCGATAGCTCGAGACTGTTTCTGGCATTCCCGTTACTTACCCCACGCTTCACTCAATCTATCCATACTTCCATATCGCTCTCTGGCCTCGCTGAAATCTATTATCTCGCCACTTCCAAGGCTGACGCTACATATTCCCGTTCTCGGCTCGAACGTTTCCTTTTTCGCGGTCTCCCAATCCAATATCGCTCAAAAAAAACTCAAGATGCAACCCCCTCTGCCCTCCGCCACGCCGACATGGCGCAACGATACCTACGAGGCTATCTCGCCCTCCCGCCCGGAGCTCAGCGCAGCGGGGAAGACGGTCATCGTGGCAGGCGCGGTAAGTTCCACGATATCCATTTCCTTTTCTCTTCCCCTGGTTGTGAACATCGACCCTCGCCCAGCCCCCTCCCCCATACACGGCCCCTCTGTGATGACCTCTCCCCTCCGAATATGCCTAGCCTTGACCCGAAAAGATCGGAGCTTTTCACCCCCTCCTCCCTTCACAACTCTATATCGCGCGAGTCCTGTATCCGCAATATATCCGTACGGATACCTTGCTTACCTAGGAATCTCTCTATTGACGCTTTGTCCTCTCTCTCGAATAGGGTAGTGGAATCGGCCGAGAGACCGCCCTTGCCTTTGCTGCTGCCGGGGCCGCTCGAGTCAGTCTTCTGGGCCGCACAGAGGCCGCCATAGCCGAGACGGCCGCCTCCTTGCCGTCGTCTGTGCAGAGTGATGTTCACGCTGTGGACATCACGGACGAACAGACGTTGATCAAGGTGGCAGCCGCGATCGGCAAGTGGGATATTCTTGTTTTGTCTTCTGGCTATGTGTCTAAGCCGTCGCCTGTCGCGGGGTCGGCTACCGATGACTGGTGGCAGAGTTTTGAGGTAAATCAGACTACCCCTTGACGGAAAACAACTCTCTCTTTCTCTCTCCACAAGTGAATACCTAGTGAATAGTGAGAGAGTGAGCGAGGGTGAAAGTGAGCGAGAGGGTCCGAACACTTACACCATGTGCAGACAAACACCAAGGGAACATACCTTGTCAGCAAGGTGTTCCTCCCCACGGCGAACCCTTCGCATGCGTCCATCGTCGCACTCACCACCGGCACAACGGCGTTGCCGGCAGTCGCCCTGCCAGGCCTGTCCGCCTACATGGCGTCCAAGCTAGCCCAAACCAAAATCATTGAGTTCCTAGCGGCGGAAAACCCGAACATCTTCGCGGTGACCCTTCACCCGGGCATGGTCGAGACCGACATCTTCACCAAGAGTGGCGCCAAGGCCGAGGCGCTCCCCATGGATAAAGGTGCAGTTCCATTGTGCTTTCCCTACGATTCCCTCCCCTGTCCACCCATCTGCCCAGATTTCCCTCTCCGTCCCGGCTCCCCTCCACTCCCTCCCTCCCTCTCTTCAACACCCCCTGCTTCTCCTTCCCGTTGCAGCTCTAGCGGGCCGAACAAGGTGCTGACATCCTCCCGCGCGCTGGCTTGCAGTCCAACTCCCTGCCCACTTCACGGTGTGGCTGACAAGTCCCGAAGCCGCGTTCCTGAACGGCCGTACTGTTTGGGCCAACTGGGACGTCGAAGAGCTCAAAAAGGGTACCGGCGCGATCCAATCCGGCCAGCTGCTGACCAGCGGTATCAACGGGTGGCCATACACTAGCCTTGCTTGAGATAGTTCCGGAGTGGACGATAGCAACCTCATGGGTTGTTGACCTGCTCGCCATGTTCGCCTAGAGATAGCCCAATATAGCAAATGCTCTTACGTATGAATAATCAACATCTCAACATTGGAAATACATTTGTGAAAAAAGAAAGAATGATACGATTTGCTTCTTGGTACCTTGGCTAAACTCTAAGTGACTACATAGTATATTGTCTAAACTTAGTATGATCACCTCAACTCGAAACACAGTGACAGGGGACCCGGATTAGAGGTGAACTGATCCCTAACGTCGTCAAAGACTCGGTTGCCCGTCTCTCCCGGTGCAAGGCGGAAGTGATACTTCTTCACAAGTCTAGCAACAACGAATCGCATAGTGTCAGTGGCCAGGAAACGACCAAGACAGCTATGGTGACCTGTAAATGGTTAGTCGATCAGGGTGGACCAGATAGTAGAGAAAGAACAAAGGTCGCCATACCTGTTCCAAATGGCGCAAAAGCTGCAAGATTGCGGATCATCTCTGGCCGCGTACTCCATCGCTCAGGAATGAACTCGTTGGCCCGCTCGAAGCAGTCCTCTCCTGTAGATAACATGTGAGCTGAGAACTGACAGAAAGACCACCCCGTTGAATTGCTTACTTCGGGATATAACGTGACGCGGGGCAATGATTGTCGTGTCTGGTGGGATGAAAGTCCCACCGATCGTGGCCCCGTTCTCCGTGGTTTTCCTGGCCCCGCCGGTGAGGAGGGCTGGGTACAAGCGGAGACCTTCGTTAATGACGGCGTTGAGGTGCGGGAGGCTCGTAAGAGTCTTGAGATTGGTAGCGTCGACGTCTTTCAATTCTTCATAGACCTTGTCGGCGTGCTCGGGGTGCTTAGCCAACTCGCAGAAGATGCCAATCAAGGCAGCAGCCGTCGGCTCACTGTACATTTGTCAGTCGGTATTCACCCACGAGGTTGGAGAGATAAAACATGCCTTCCAGCAACAATTGCCAGCAAGCTATCGCCATAAAGCCATGGCAACCGATCCTTGAACTCAGTCTGGCCGTCGTTCAGCTCCATCAAGTAGTAGGCAAGGTCAGGGACGGCTGGCTTAGGAGTTCCGTCATCAAGTCTGACACGCATCTGCCGCTCGCACCAGGCAACCATGTCAAACCAGTCCTTGAGGACGCTGATCCGTGGTCCCAGCTTGAAGCCGACCTGAATGAGCCATGGAGCAGGGCTGAACGGTCCAAGCAGCGAGAGGGCACGCTGCAGCCGTATAATGATGTGATGCCACTGCTGCTGGTGCAGCATATCAAATGACTTGCTAAAGACAAAGTCTCCCATGACATCAAAGCCAAACCAAAAGAACAGGTTCCGGACTTCTGAAGCAACATGCGCTTTGGCATCCGCCTCGATGCAGACGTCTAGCTGCTCAATATACTTGAGAATCTTTGACTCGTGTTGAACAAGGGCTGTAGTACGGGACGGCACGTTAGAGATAGGCTCATGATTCCGAAGATCTATGGGGTCATACCTTGTGCCGAGAACCCACGGTTCCATTCACGGCGTCTGGCAGCATGAATGGGCTTGATGCGTGTCGTGACAAGCGCACGATCGGGGTGCAGAATGTCGTACCACTCAGACTTGATGCATTCAGACCGGGGACCATCTACAGCCATAAAGACTCCTGGGTGGAAGACAGTGATTTCACTAGGTCCTAGCTTACCAGTAAGTGTATGTTTCAAGAAGATTGTTTTGACTGTCCGCTTACCTGTTCTCACGAAGTCTCCATACTGCTCATGTAAATCCTCCAAGAGCAGGTGATTCTTGCAGTTTCTGCAGGCCCAGACGTGCCACAGCTTGGTGACCCGGGCGTACCACGGGCCTTTGAAACCAGCAGTTGTCAGTCGATGAAAGTAGAGTCTGTAGAGGGTGATACTGGTGAAAAGCCCAGGCAGATAGCCGGCGAATAGTATCAAGACTGAATGGCATAGATCACCAACAGTTGAGCCCTTGTAGTAATAGCTGAGAGCCGCGGAACAAAAGAAGAGCCACAAATGACCCAGAGCAATCTGAGGAGCCTGGACATGCCATTCTCCGTGAATGAAGATGCCCCAATGGACGGCAACGCCGCAAAGGAGCCCAAGGCCGTAGACCAGGACGGTTTGGTAACTAGAATCAAGAAGGTCACTCATGGTGAAGTTTGTGAGTTGCACTTGGTCAATTCGAACAAGCTCGAGGCGCTCTCTCTCTTGAAGTCTGCCACCGATAACTCGACCTGAGCTCGGAGTCGATAAACATCCGCCAGTCAAGCAGTCATCGAAACCCGACATGATGCCTAGTGCTATGGCTGGGTCTAGCCTATCCCTCGACAATCTGTCGTGAGTTACCTGAGGGGTAACAGCATGCCACAGGAACTGACTAGTGTCCAATAACTGGGATGCAATCCAGCACGCATCACAGCATCTTCCATATTGTCCTGGAGATTGTACTCGTTGATCAAAGGTACATAGTTGAGTATCGCGCCGTGGTGATCATGGGTCATCCCGATAACCTTGATACCCGGATACTGACCAGGTTCTCCCTTGACAGTCGTTGACCGGGGGTCCAGGCAAGTGAGAGGGTCTGCGTCCCAAACTGTCATACCCCTGATGCAGAAACAAAGTCGTAAGGATGTAACCCTGCAGTGGAACCTGCTTGAACGGTGCCAGAAACGGTTGGCCGGCTCAGTGTCGTATGTTGGCGCAATACGGCCGCCCGCCGGGGAGATGCCGGATGGGCGCTCGGCGCTACGGCGACTAATGCTTTGCCGCAATCCTACACAATCTTAGACGTCTCGGGCTCGGAAACTTGCCATGATTTAACAGTGACCAGAGTTCCAACGAAGTCTTTCGCTTTTGCAGAATCACTCGTGTTGCGTTACTCATTATATTGTCTCTCAAAATGGCTGCGAAATACGACTTCATCATTGTGGGTGGCGGCGTCGCCGGCTTAGTAGTTGCCACTCGTCTGTCTGAGATCCCAGATGTCCAGGTCCTGGTGCTCGAAGCGGGCGAAGACCAAACGGCAGACCCTCGAGTCAATATTCCCGCACTGGGTCCCAGTCTTGTCAAAACGCCCTCTGACTGGCAGTTCCGAACGGTACCCCAAGTGAGTGTTTCTGAGACCAGCTGCTGCTTTCTTGGGAGTCCGCTTTACTGATAGTGAATCGCTTGCAGGATGGACTAGGTGGTCGTGAGATTGCTGTGCCCCAAGGCCGTCTCCTTGGTGGCTCAGGTGCCCTCAATGGCCTCTCTTTTACCATCACCACACGGTCCAACGTCGAGGCGTGGGCCAGCTTGGGCAACCCCGGCTGGGATTGGCCTACGTTCAATGAAGCCTCCAAGAAGGCCTATTCCATCGCTACTGGTGAAGGTACAGGGCCACTGAAGCTGTCTCTGCCGGATAATGCGGAGTCTTTCTGGCCCAAGATCTGGCAAGACACTCTTCGCAGTCTGGGCTTCCCGGACACTTGCGATCCCTTGAGTGGGCAAGGAGTCGGCAGCAGTCTCACTCCGGACACTATAGACCCAGAGACAAAACAGAGAAGTTACGCCGGCAGCGCGTATCTACAGTCGGCAAAGTCTAGGTCCAACTTAACAGTCGTGACCGGAGCTCTGGTAGAGAAGATTGTCTTCAAGTCCGATGCTGGCGAGGTTGTTGCCGACGGTGTTCAATACACCAAGGATGGCGAGACAATAACAGCAACAGCACAGAAAGAGGTTGTGTTGACTGCTGGCACTCTCAATTCGCCACGAATCCTTGAGCTCTCCGGCGTTGGTAACGGAGAGCTTCTTGGTAAACTCGGCATTGAAGTCGTTCTGGATAACCCGCACGTCGGCGAGAACCTGCAGAACCACGTTATGGTCGGCGCAAGCTTTGAGGCCCTTCCAGAACTCGACACCATAGATGGCATTATTCGCCAGGAGCCAGCTGCTGTCGGAGCTGCGATGGAGGCGTATGGTAAGGGCACTGGGCCGTTCTCAAGAAGCGGCACTGTAGCAACTGCACAGCTTCCTTTGCCCGCTGGCGAGGATGTGACCCAGCTTCTTGACAACTTGAGCGGGCCCAAAACGAGTGCGACGCCAGAGTTCACCAAGGCCCTCGAGGCATACGTGCGGTCCGTCTTGACGTCGTCCTCGGAACCCTCGGGGTACTACCTGTCGTTGCCTGGATTCGCATTGTTCAGCGGAGACGGAACTATGGCAGCGCCGCCGCCTGGCGAAGAGAAGTACTTCACGATAGCGCTGCTCCTCGCTCATCCACTGTCGCGAGGGTCAAGCCACATCACTTCTGCATCCCTTGATTCGCCCGCAGTCGCCATCGACCCAGCGTACCTATCGCACCCATTCGACGTCGAGGTCCTGGCCAGACATATTCAGCTCCTGGAGAAGATCGCCACAAGCGAGCCGCTCCGAAGTCAGCTGAAGCCGAGCGGAAAGCGCAGTCCCGCCAACGCTCTGACAGATCTCGAGGAAGCCAAAGAGTTCGTACGTAAGACGGCAGTTGGCGCTCATCATTTCACGGGCACTTGCTCCATGATGCCTCGGGAGCTTGGCGGAGTGGTAGATGAAAAGCTGCGGGTGCATGGGATCCGTGGCTTGCGGGTGGCTGATGCTTCCATTGTGCCCATTACAGTGCGTGCTAACCCTCAGGCGACAGTCTATGGCATCGCCGAGCGGGCTGCCGATTTGATCAAGGCGAGTCTGTAGGCGCCATTTTGTAAGAAGAGATTAATAGCTTCGGGGCCGTATGTCTAAGTAGGAAGTATCCATAGCAATGAATGAGATGAAACCAGGGATCATAACGTTAAGAGCGCAGCAATTGAGTTTGGATGCAAGGATACCGGCTATCTCGAAAGACCATATTTGGCAATGAGACTTTGTTTTGCAGGAACATCATCCATAGTGTCAAGTGCCATCGTAGTTGCATTAAGGTTGCAGTTTGTTTGGGGGGAAAGAATGTCACTGCCCTTTGATGGGCGGTTTGTGGCGGATGTATGTGCCAAACGGCCAGCTGGTTGGCGGATGCTTCCCTGGACGCGTCCCAATCGCGCTTTTAATGGACGAAGTATCGATACTCCTCCGGCACTACAGGGACCACACAAATTATTGTACCTAGCCAGATAGCTACACGTGACGGCGAGCTCACCTCGCGTCCTCCACCCGGCCGCGTCGCTAACAATTTCGCGTCAAAATCGCCTTCACCTTTCCTAATTGCCTACGCCCACACCGGTCTTTCTGCGCAAACATCACTCCGACGGCACAACTCAAAAATCGCCCTACGTATGTTCTGACCTCGAGTTCGACGCCCGCCAGCTCTTCAGCTCTTCAGCTCTTCCCAATTGCATGCCTCACCCGATCGCCCACCATGGCTGAACAGGCAAAGGGCTTGTTCGCAGAATGTACCTTCGCCTTCGTACCGAGTGCCCACCTAGCTCCCAAAGAAATCAGCGAGTACGCTGGCATCGTGGAGGGTCGTGGCGGAACGGTTCTCGACCCAAGACGCGATGGCTCCCTCAGGCTCGAAGCCGTTTCCCACATCATCTCCAACACCATCGACTTTCCCCAATTCACCGAAACCCAAGCCTTCATGATCCCAGTCGTCAATACCGACTGGATCAAGGCGTCAGTCAAGAAGAACAAACAGGCGCAGGTCCGGCCTTACTCTCCCGATCCCCGCATGTTCTTTTCCAAGGTCATCCTCACAACTGCTGGTCTGCCTGAAATCGACAAGGAGACAATTATCGGTGCTACGCTGGCCATGGGTGGCATGGAAGGCGCCGACGTCACACGACAGACCACACATATCTGCGCTCTGACTACGGAAGATCCAAAGTGTGTCATCGCCAAAGAGAAAGGCCTCAATTGCAAGATGGTTCTACCTCACTGGTAAGTCTGGAGCGTCCTGGTGCTTCGAGCCACTTCTCACCCATACCCTAGGTTCGAAGACTGCTTCAGGCTTGGCAAACGTATACCTGAAGCTCCTTATCTGCTCCCCGATCCCGAAATCCTTCGCCGTGAAGAGAACCAAAGCGAGGTGCAAATTCCCACATATGACCAGCTCAACGGAGCAACCTCAACAAGCCCCAACTACCTCAGTGATGGCCCACGAAAACCAGCCACGATATTCCGGGACAAGGAAGTCATGCTTTCAAAGGACCTCAGCATTACCCCACGATCGCTGGAAGTTGTCAAGCAACTCATCAACAATGGTGGTGGTAAGGTAGTCGACGATGTTGACGATTGCGACTACTTTATTTGCCAGTATCGTGACGGTGAACAGTACGTCAAGGCTGCGCAGTCAGGAAAGGACATCGGCAATCTCTCATGGCTTTACCACCTCATAACGCACAATGAATGGACATCACCGCTTCGCCGTCTACTCCACTACCCAGTTCCCAAGAACGGCATCCCTGGCTTTGAAGGTCTCAAGATCTGTCTCTCCAACTACGGCGGTGACGCTCGCATTTACCTTGAAAATCTGATCAAGGCGACTGGTGCCACATACACCAAGACGATGAAGGCCGAGAACACACACCTTATCACTGCAAGGAGCAGCAGTGAGAAATACGAGGCGGCCAAGGACTGGAACATCGAGACAGTCAACCACCTGTGGATCGAAGAGAGCTACGCCAAGTGTGAGATGCAGAGGGTTACGGTCCCCAAGTATTCTCACTTTCCAGTGCGCACGAATCTGGGCGAGGTGATTGGTCAAACCTTCTTCGACGAGTATTGCTTGCGAGAAACCTACTACCCCGGTGGTGAAGAGGGGCTGTCGCCTCAAGCGACGAGGAAGCGCAAGATTCTCGAGGCTGCACAGGAGAACTCATACTTGCATGGGCCCGCCGAGGGGGTTGTGATAGGCAGGCAAGAGGACAAGAGCGAAAAGACCATCGATGATAGCTTCATGACGCCTATACGCCCTAAGAAGGGCAGCCGCGGAAAGGAGAATGATACGCCCTCGGAAATGTCGACCGGAGGCCGAAGCGCCAAAAGCAAGGCTCTGACCAACCTACAGCGCATTGCTCCCGATATTGCGTTGTACGAGAAAGAGAAGAAGCGCAGCAAGGATAAGCAAGGGCCATGGGGCGGTAAACGTGCCGCCGATCAAATTGACAGGGAAAGAGGCCGCACATCGAGCCCAGCACAGGCAA